TCAGCACGCAATGACAGCTGAGTTATATAGCATAGAATACAACAGGAGAGAATTATTTGTAAGAAAAAAAGGAAATGCATTAAAATTCTGAAGTAAAAGTTGCCTCTTAAGTATTGTTTATCAGTTTACCTGTGTCAGATATGGTCCAAGAAGATGAAATTACTACCTCCTGTTGTTAGCAAAATGAATCAGTCTTGGATCTTAGATTAATACAGGTGAATCTCATCAGGGAAGAATTCCTGTTAACTGAGCATAATTTAGCCTTGAATAAAAGGATCATACTGTCTTTTTAATTAGCAATTTCTTGAGAGCAGTAAGTATAGATAACTTTCTATAAGCCTGATGTCTCAAAAACAAAAAAATTAAAACTGCAGTTACACTATAGCAAAAAAGGCATTTTTATTAAATAAAAATCAATTGAATTTTATCAATAATGAGGCTTCCACCTTCATTAAGCTCTTCACACTATCACAAACACAGGTGTGAGTGCTTTCCCATTTATTTTGCCTTTCATTACCAATATTACATTTTTCATTATATGAAACAGAATGGAAAAGTAGAATGTGGGGGAAGAGGAAAAATCAGTAACCATCCTTTCATTCAATGGAAGCGATGAGGAAAGAAAGACTATTAATCTTAATTAATGTTCATCTTAACCAAATTCATGCCTGTTGAAAGTAATACGAAGGTTGTCCAATTTGAAGGAAAAATTCTTCATTTTGTCAAATGATACAGGCAAGTGATAGGAGACAATTGTATATTTTGTTAGCTACATCATCCTTGACATGCAATTGTTAGATTCAGCTGAGTAGAAATAAAAAAGATGCCAAATAAAATTCAAACAAACAGCAAATATGGGACAAATAAAATGACATGTTTATACTCTAACAATTTTGGACCTCATCCCAAAGTGAGAGATTAAGGCAGATGAATAAAGCAAAGAAGATATATGGCTATTCTGAAAGCAAGTGAAGTTGCATTTAGCAATAAACACAAAGGATTTTGACTCTGTGGAGACTTTGGAAGGGATCTAGTCCAAAACAATCCTTACTCTGCAGTCCAGGAGCTCTCACAGACATAGACAGACATGTATATATGGGAACTGAGGAGGGAATAAAGAGACCTGGGCCTTGGACTTGATCGGTTCGGCAACCACATCCTAGCTGATGACCAAGCTGAAGAACAACTGTCACTTTGAGAACTCTCCAGAGTTCTCAAAAAATTCTGTTTATGGAATGCCAATTTTTTTTTAAACTGAAAATGCTGCGGTGGTCATGATTTCCTGGCCTTAAGATCCAAGCAATTTCCAGCGATGTGTTGATAGTAAAAAAATCTGAGGATTTCCCCAAGTTCTTCCCTTCTTCTGACTCTTTCTGATAGACAGGTTTGGGGAGAGAACCTTGATTTGCCTTACTGGAATCTGATGATTTTACTGCTCTTCTGGGATACAAGAAAGAAGTCATTGCTCTTATCTGAAAAATGGCTGAAGTACGGAGTTCCTAACTTTCCCACATTTCATCCCTTTTGTATGAGTTTAAAAGAAATCAATCACAAAGAACTTCTCTGTTTTCTAGAAGTGCTCAAAAAACCTAAAATCCTCTCTCCTCAGTACTTTGTTTAAAAAAAGTAAAACATCTGATCAAGTAAAGCCCTTGCATCTTAGTATCTTCAGATATCTTCATAGATGCCTTTTGGGACAAGCTGAAACATGGCCTTTTTATTTTAACACATTATTGAGTACTGCTTTTGATCTTCAGTCTAGCCACAACAGATTAAACTTGCCAATTGCTCCAATCCCTAACCTGCCATTTGGCCACTTAAAAGCAGTAAGCTTAAACTCAACACAAAAATATATCATGAAACGAGTATTGTTTATTGTTATTGTAAAAGAACAAGAAAGTAAGTTCTTCAACACTGTGTTCTTTTCTGTAATGGAGTAGGAAACTCGTAGCAACAGGCTCAGGATATTAGCTACAGCCTATAGGATTTCTTCATGCTCCTTTTTTGGCTTAAGCTTAAATTGTTGCTTCTTACTGTTGCCTCAGTTGCATGTCTTCATCACATGCATTCAAGCTATTCTAGTACCAATACCTCTATAGCCTTTTAGTATCTAAGAGGATTCTTACTCTCTTGTAGCCTTTAAGCTCTGTAAATTGATTTTTGTTTCAGGTTAATGTTTTGTAGTATAGTAGCTTAGAGTAAAACCCCAGAGACAGCATTCTGGAATGCCATGATACATTTATGATCGAGATTTTCGCCTTCTGATACATGCAGAGAGATCAAAATGAAGTTAGGTATTCAAGTCAATGTGTGAAATGTTATGCAGAAGTCCCAGGTATAACCAAAATGACCCTTTTGCTATTTGTTTTCTTCTTTCTCCTTTATCACCTGCTGAAAGAACTCATCACATTGTGCATGCTAGCTTCCCATATCACAGTAAGACTGATAGTGAAATTAATATCGTATATGAAATATTTATTTATGATACTTCAGAAATCTTAATAAATTCTAAAGTAATTTGATAACTACTGTGAAGCAACATCTGAGCTTTCTGGCAACACCTGAATGGCCAAGTACCATGTTTATGAATCATACTGTGTACTATGCTAAAGCAGATCAGTTTCTTTATGTATAGTCTGACAAAAAAAGAACTAGAGGTTTAAATCCACTCTGCTGCTGGGCTGTCTAAACACAGCCTTTAAGTATGATCTCCTAAAAGAATAAATATTTTCCATTAATTTGGCTGTGAGACTTCCCTTTTCTCTCCAGGTTCCAAAAGAAAAAATAAATCAATATGAAGACTAACATGCCAAGTGCCAAGAAAGAATGTAGAGAGATCTAAAGAAAAGAAGAAAGAAAGAATCAACGTCTTCCCTCCAATGATTTCAGAGTGAGAGGACACACTGAAACCAGAGTGCCCAGGAACATTTCACCAGGAAATGGACATTTTTCATTATAAAGTTTCTGATGTACCACATATCACAGTGGTTAAAATTCAAAGCAGCTCAGACTGTATTCAATTCAATGTACTTGTCGGTTGTATTTCTTGCGTATATAATTTACTTGACAGGCACAGTTTAAATGCTTTAAAATAAACCATTGTACCAAGAGCAGATGCAGTGTGGTAACAGAGCTTTAAGTTTTATTAGGCTTTTAAATGCAACCAATTTGTTAGGGTGAAATCTTTAGAAATGAACCCTAAAACCTGTAAGTAGAAGAATACATTTGCATTGCCTTTTTTTCCCCTCATTGAACCACTCAAACCTTTTACATTATTCATATGCAGAGGCTCCTGTAATATATTTTCTGTATTGTAGAAGACTTGGCCTGGTACTGTGACTGCAGCAACTAAGCTAATCTAACTTCTGGGTGAGCACTGATGAAAACCAGAGTCAGCAAAAGAGTCTGCGGAATATGACAAACGAGATTAAAACATTACACTGTTTTTCCACACCTGCCAATTCCATCCTTTGTTTCTTCTTGTACATTAGGTAATCTTACTGTTTTGTCATATGTTTGTTTGCTGTTGCTTTTATTTTTTTTTCACAAGTACTTTAGAAATAACACTGTATCTTTCAAACACTTAGACAAAAGTTGCATAAATACACTCTCATAAATACATTCTCATACATAAATTCAGCTAAAAAATCCTTAAATTTTGTTCCAAATGCATTAGCAATCTACTATTCTCACTGAAAATGGCATATGCCATCCCACAATTCAAATATTCCAACATGATGTGTTATGAGAAACAGTTGATGATTGAAATAAACATAATATAGTACATTAATTCTGAAACTGAAAATGTCAAAAGGAACTATTTTGTTATCTCACAACAGAGATACACAAGAAAAAGGTTAAATACCATCTTTGTTAAGCTCCATAATTTTGGATACCAACTGAACAAAAAGATTGCAGTATGAATTAAATCTTAGATTTCTCTGAACTGTAGGCCTGTTTCCTTCTCTTTCTTGACGTGCTGAGAAAGGCTTCATAATTTTTTTTTGGTGTTTCAGTTGAGTTGACTTAATGATTGACAAGGTTACATATTCCTCTTCTATTGATTTAGAGATTCTGTTGATTACCCAACCACTCAATTTTATTGCTAGATGAAGTTGTGGAGTTTTGATTTTTTTTTTTTTTTTAATATTTGAACCTTGATACTTATAAACAACCTTTCTTGAAAGCCTCTGTAAGGCCTAAACACCTAAATAGAAATAACATGAAACAAATCAATATTTTCAAGTAACAACTTAGGAGGTAAAAGTCAGCTATTAATTTGTAACACAAAGTCATGTAAGCCATACAGAAATGAACAAGTAAAACTGATTATATGCAAAGGTTTCTGGTCTCTTGTGGACCAGTCTCTGGATTAAAGTAGAAGACTAGTCCTTGAGTGCAGAAGGTGAACATGTTGGCCAGTTCTCAACTGTTATTCAAATGAAACTGGCAAGTTCTGCATAACCCTTTTGTATTTTATGGAAACACTGGTGTAGGACCAACTCTAACATTTAACTTCAGCAGCCACAGTGTAAGAAGAACACAGTTTCATGAATACATTAAAAATATTGCGAAGAAATCAGACGAAGAAAGAGATGATGATATTTTACACTAATAAAGGTTTAATGCAAAATCATGGTCTAAGTACAGAAATGTTTAAAACTAGTAATGGGTACAGAAGAACTGTTGCTTCTTATGCTTACACCTTTAAAAGATGCTTTAGTGAAATCAACAGTGCTTTACAAGAGGCATAAAAAACCTGAAAATGATAACATTCCTGTTTCAAAACAGAAGCAGATAAAAACACCTGGTACTTGGTACTATTTTATTTTATTTTATTTTATTTTATTTTATTTTATTTTATTTTATGTATGATAAAGTTATCTGCAAGAGCTAAGGTGTGTATCATTCATCTAATGGAAAAGGGAGCAAGATTTGTGTCTTGGGCAGGTACAAATGTTTTCAAACTAACATGGTAAGCAGCTTTTTCAAGATATCACCTTATATCCTATTAATTCTTCTTTACGAGTATGTATTACTAAGCTGGTCTTTAAAACAGAAATAATCAGACAACTAAAAAAGGATAGATGAAGGAACCACAGGAAGAGTCAATAAATATTTTATTTGAAGGAATTACAGTTTTATTACCAGAGTTCAAATTTCTACAGAACTGATGTATCAAAACCATTGTAAAATATGCTAGAAAGATATATGCATGCCTGTGCATTCACTCTGCAGCAGCAGCACTTCTCTGTGGGGATGTTACAATGAAGCAAAATTCAGGGATACCCCAAACTGCTATCAGGTAGAGGAAGACTTGACTTTCATCCAATATTAGCCTTAAGTACTAACATGTACTTTCAAAACTATCTGTAGGGTTTTAGCCTGAAATATACATTTATATCTATGTATCCATATTAGATATCTATATGTAGTCTATTTATCTGTACAGACATCTATCACTTTCCATCAGAGGTAAGAAAACTAATGTTGACTGTCAAATTCAAAGAAGGTTAGTGAGAAGAAGGTTGATAGATTCTGAATTCACTGCTGTGCACTTAGTTTTGCAAACTGTATAATTTTCTATCTCCTAGACCACTCCTTTGGTGTTGCAAGTTTCAAACCCACTATCTGTAATGTCAAGGGAATGGCTTAGGACACTGAGATCAATTTCAGATCTAATAAAGTCTAAGTTTGATCCTAAGTCTTTTATAACATAACACAATCTAAGATGATAGAGTTTGCATATTTCTAGGTGCCTCTCCTTCACCCAACATTTCCTCAGCCTCCACTTCAATAGAGAAAGGCATTGGTTTGTGCCACATGGGCTGAAGAGCAAAGTGTATTACCCATCTTCAAATAAATTTAGAAATCCTGTAATATGTTTGTGTTTCCTTCTCATCTCTTCCCCTGGTCAAAAAACCACCAAAAGAATTCAAAAAATGAGTTAGAGGGTTTGCTTCCTCACAGTTCATCAAACCAGTCAAGAACTAAAGATTACGTACCTGTGATTGATACTAAGATTTTAACAAGCAGGGAGACGAATAATTCATTTTCAATTTGATCTTTGGACTGGTGTCTCCTCGTTCTTCTCAAATTCACTGCTTCAGAAGAAATACTCTCAAGAGATTTTACATCACACAAAGATTCCTTTTTACTTGTCAGAGAGTCAAGGTGGCCTCCCATCAACAATATGGCTTCAGGTTGATTTTCTTTCTCCTTTTCACAGTCCATTTCCCTCCTCTGAATACTGATTAGTACCGATATAGGCTGTGTTCCTTTCTATGACTTTCAGTCTTTCTATTCTAACAGAATCAAACAAATTCCACTTTATGAAGACAGTGACTGGAAACAGTTTGAGGTAGAAGTATGCAAGATCTCTAAGACTAAGGGATTGTCTACTTTCCCCTATGTATGTTTACTGTATTGTCCCTCAAAATTGGTAGGAATAAGATGCAATTCCCTCTTTCCCCGGATCATTTTGTATGCACTGCAACAGTTGGCAAGAAAAAACTGATATTGACTTCTTTATTATAAATCTCTTTTCTTATCATTGCAATAGAAATTGAAAGTACAGTCAAAGTAATTTGCCATGGAGGGTAAATTACAGACATAAAGTTAAATACTTTAAAAAGTGAAGTTCCTAGACATCAAGACATATTGGCATTTCAAAATATGCACTTGATATGTTTCTGTATTGTTCTTGTATGAACACCAGTTGTTTTCCTCCATAAGAAATACACTTTAGCAAGTATTTCTTCTGCTTATTTGTTAAAAGAAATATCTGATACCTTATACTCTATTTTCAGAACTGTAGCTGTTGGTGAAGGGGTTCCGAGACATAAGTACATGACTTATGAGATCTAACAATATGTCTGGTTTATTAGTAGAGTTCAGACTTTTTATAGTATCCCTATACAGAGTCTCGTGACAAGAAGCACATAATTGGTTACAAGTTACTGTCCAGATGTAAACATACATTACAAATACATTTATAATTGGTTATTAACAGCTAACAAGACAACTATTTACTTTATCAAACTCCACCTTCTTCTTGGCACTGATTTTCTTTTGTTCTAGCAAAGAGACCCACAGCCATCTTGGAACTTATAGTATCTATAAAACTATATAAAAACAAAGTTTATAAAACTACAGCACACAATATAAATTGCTCACGCATTCATCATGTTCCTCCCACACTGTAATAAGGTCTTCTAAGAATCCTGAATTATTTGTTTTCTTATCAAGTATGCATTGTTTTGTGTTATCACTATCAAAATGATAATATTTAGTAGAGGAGTGGCTCTATTACCTGTATTTTCTATTTGAGACAAGAAACAGTGAGACTGGGGACTGGAACATCAGGAAAAAAGGCAGGTTTTTTCTTTGTGCACCTTTGAGTGCAAAAGCTTTCCAACATCCCCACCACACGGCCCAACACAAGGAGGAAAGAAACACAACACTTGTTTTTCTCCCTTGCCTTGGGCACTAATTTAAGGGATTTACTCAGCATAGCAAAGAAAATCCATGAGAGAAAAGATTTAACCAAGAAAGCACTCAACTCTCCTAGAATAAGTATTTACTTTTCTTTAAAACTGGGAATGTTCCTAAATTTTAGAAAAGTGGGCTTGGAGAAATTAAAAAGGAGATGGCTGTAGCCATCCAGCCAGGATAAGCATTAGCATATCCTGACTGAGGAAAGAATCAGAAATCTGTTTGTAGATCAGGCAGCCTTCTTCTTTAGTGAGAGCTTGTATCAGAGAGCCTGCTCTGAAAAATTAACTACTGAAGGTGAACAAAAACTATTAAGGTTTAACAGACCAAGCTTCATTGATATTGTTATATATCAGGTAGGATTTCAGAATAATTTTGATTATTAAACATGTACAATCCCACACAGCAATACAGAAAGCACATTAGTTGAACCTTTTAATGATAGTTTGGAACAAATAAGAGCATAAACAAAAGTACCTTTACTTCCACACACATTTCATATAAGACCTTGGAGTAAAAATATATGAGACCATAAGAGTAGGTAATCTTTATACTATAAATCTACATATACTGATAGGTCATCTTAATGCAAATCTGAATGTTTCCAGAAATAAAGTAAGATCAGATTCACTCTACAACTATAAAATTAGGCATAAATTTTTTCAGAGATTTTCAATTCTCTCAACAGAAAAGAAACTTCAGTTCTGATATAGTCAAATTATTGCAAGTTATCCTACTAAAGAGCAATTCATACAGGCAATCACTTCTATCTCAAACTCTAATGGTATTTAGGATTAGCAATATGATACTGAATGCAAAATATCATTTGCTCTGATAACTCACATCCATTTTGAGATTTATATAGAGAGGAGAAGACAACAATTATGGAGAGCACAGGGAGAGTGGGGGATTAATTCTTTCAAACATAATGAGACAATGTAAGCGAAGTATTTGACTGAATATGTGTGGATAAATATCAGGTACACAGAACTCTTTAGAGATGAGTTACATGCGGTTACAGAGAAGTGTGACTATTCCAGGAACTAGGTCTCCCAAGGACTAACAAAAAAAGTGTTATTTCTTTCCTTCACAAAATGAATACTCAACGTCCCAACAGACAATGCTGAGTTGGAAGGGACCCACGAGGATCATGATCACTGAGTGTAACTTCTGGCCTCACACAAGGTCATCAGTAAGAGTCACACCATGTGCCTAAGAGTATTGTCCAAACACTTCCTGGACTCTATCAGGTTTGCAGCTGTGACCACTTCACTGGGGAGCCTGTTCCAGTGGTCAACCACCCTCTAGGTGAAGAACCTCTTTCTAATATCCAGCCTAAACCTCCTGTGACATAGCTTCATGCCATTCCCTGTCAGTGGTCACCACAGAGAAGAGATCAGTGCCTGCACCTCCTCTTCCCCTCACGAGGAAGTTGTAGACTACAATGAGGTCTCCCCTCAGTCTCCTCTTCAGGATGAACAGACCAAGTAACCTCAGTCACTCCTCATATGGCTTCCCCTCAAGGCCCTGCACCATCTTGGTTGCCCTCCTTTGGATGCTCTCTCATAGCAAAATATCTTTCTTATGTTGTGGTCCCCAAAACTGTACACAAGATTCAAGGTGAGGCCACACCAGTGCACAACAGAGCAGGACAAGTCCACAGTTTTCAGAATACTATATATGAAATATACACACAGGGTAGCAATTTTAACACATAGGTATTTATTTCTCCCACAAGGCATTTTGGAAAGGTGATCAAAGGAAATTGATTTAGATTTGCAGTTCACAGAAACTTAGTACATAACAGTACAAAATAAATTGTCCAGCACGTTACACACATCTCCAACTAGCACATCTCTTATCTGAGTGGGAGCACATATCAACCTCTGAAATGGAATTGGTTAGACAGTGTTTGTCCCTCTAGTCCCTAAAGGGCTACAGACCTATTTCCACATCAGTAAATTCAGTGGGAGCTTTCTTGCTGACACAAAAAACTCAAACTGGGACACTAGCAGGCACACTGTAGGCTACAGTGTGACTCTAGGCAGAGTTGAGAGATATAGATAGCATGTTAGCTACTTCTATTACTATTCAAGAGATATTTACACCAGGAGTCACTGTAGTCCAGAAAGACATGTCAATCCTAATTGCTCTCTCTTGTTTTCTTTTTCTGAGGGTAGACTTGTTTGTTTTGCAAAGGACTCTTGGTAATTTATCATTTACTCAATCCAACTTCAGGCCAATCTGGCCAGGAAGCAGGACTGGAGGCAGAAAAAAAGTATTGAAAATGAGCCCAAGTTGGAACAATTCAAATTATGGTGTGATATGGTGGGCTGGGATATCGAGTACATGAAGACTTGGGAGATTGGTATGAAGCTGTTGTGGAGAATTACTGCAGGAGGTATGTATATGGATGGGAGTGTTGGGTAAAGTCAGACTCTGGAAATTAATTTCATGGTTTATGTTAGTTTGCAGTATTATTCCAACACAAGAGTCATCCTACAGGTGTAAGAATACTGGAATTTATCCAGTTTGTATGAAAGCAAGGCACACTGCAGTTTGCCCAGCAGTTTATGTCATCTTAAAGATCTATAATAGACAATTTCTGCTTTTTAAGTCTATCCCTGGTGTTCCATAAGTCCTCAGAGATATCTCATAACCAGACAAAGCATTACCAATTACTCCTCTATTTTCTTTTTTTCCCCCTTTTTTTCCTCAAGAGGAAAGTTAATTACATCCCAGTGTCATATAAAATGACCCAGATTAAGTGCAACAACTATTGAAGAAAAAACTATCCCACTGTAATGCACGCAGAAAAAACTCTGCTCTTGAGCAAAACAAAAGGGATTTGTCTCACCTGCATGTTAATATCTAAAGTGTCCCCAAAAGTCACTCATCCTAAAGTAGAGAGTACTAGTTAAGGAGTTGACATGTGAAGTGAGATGGCTATCAAAGGCAGAGTCATGAGCTCACACCCTAGGAGAAAGATTAAAGGTGGTGCCATGCTGCTCCTTTAGAGAGGCTGGCATACCATTTAAAGTGAAAAACACCATTAAATTTCCTGCAAGCAGAACACAAAGGCAGAGTAAAGCAATAGCTCATACAGCTGTGAGGAGCTGGCCTTCAGTCAAACTCTGTCTTGTGTCTAGGTCTTGCTCTATCCTGGTGTTATTTTTGTGTGTCAGCCTCCCGAGCACAGCCTTTACTTCATGTTTCTCAGGCTGTAGATCAAAGGGTTCAGCATTAGGATCGCCAGGGTATAGATCACACTGGGGACTTTGTCTTCACTGAGAAATGGGAGCCAGAAGAAAGACAATGGTCCTGAAGAACAGGCTGACTGTGGTCAGGTGGGAAGCAAATGTGCTGAAGGCTTTCAACCAGCCATCAGCAGAGTTGATGGCAGCAAGGCCATAAGTTTAGGAGATGAAGGCAATGATGTTGCTCAGACTGCTGAGCACAAAGGACAGGATGAAAAGCATCAGTTTGCTGCTGAGTGCCTAAGCAGGTGCAAAAGATCCCTTTGGGGATACTACAGAAGAAGCTGGTCATGTTGGTGGCACGTTCCCAAGCACTGCTTATTCCCATGCACGTAGGGGTCCACTGGAAGCAGAGTCCCAGGGCTCTGTAGTCTTGCTACTCTTCAGACTGCTCCTGGCTGTAAAAGGAAGATGCATTTTACTAGAACACTTTGTGTTTAACTTAAGCAAACTGGAAATGGCAAGAACAGAAATGTGAATGATTCCAACATAACTACTGAAGGTAATAGCCACTCAGTGACATTGAGCATTCTGTATCCACTTTTCAAGGAACTTCTCCGCAGACCTCAGTTAACATGTAACACGGTACAATGGGATACATATTGAGATAAGGGTTAGAGATCCTCTGTATAATGAAAACGTATATAGTTGTGTGTTAAGAAATAAACACTAAGCATAAGAGAAAACTCCTTGAAAAGGAACATTACCTGTAAGCAACAAAGGACCAAGTAGGTCCTTGAGAAGGTAGTTATATAATTTTCAGTATCAAATGAAATACTTTTCTCTGAAATAGTTACTACATCTGTTCTGAGCAAAGATGATAATCCTATACTCATTGTGGCTTATCATTCTAATTGATAAGATTCATCTGGATTTACAGCTGCAAGAGGGAAATAGCATGTCTAGTGCAGAGTACAGAACTATAACTATGGATTTATCAATTTATGTAACTGAAAAGACTTTTAAGTGTCAATATAACATAGTTGTAACAGCAGCACCTTTTCTTCCAATATCAGTCCTATTGCAAAAAAAAGATAACTTGCAAATATATCACACATAAGTGCAAAATAAAGTCTGTGAGGTCTTTGTTAATCTTAAAAATTAACATTTATGTTCACATTTGCATTTAGAGATGCCAGACCTGAAGTATGAAAGAAACACCTAAATTTAGAAGCTTACATATAGTATTTTCTCTGAAGTATTCCTATACCAATAATGTAGAAAATGAAGCATGGGTAAATGCATATTAAACATTTCTGTTTTTAGTTTCCCCTTCATTTCTTCAGATGGAATCAGCCACAATAGTCAGACCCTATCAGAACACACTTTATTGAAAGGAATCCAGCAAGCCACATTTCTTACCAGTAATATCAGAACACTTTCTGGAAGGTAATCAAGCATGAAATTATTGCAGGGCATTGGCTAGGATAGGATGGAATTTCTTGTCAATTCTGAAGAAGGGAGTCCTGCATAAAAAAAAAAAATTCTAAGACTTTCATCTGACAGGTGTTTGGGCAATTTTGATTCACAGAAACATTCAAAAGTTAGAATGTTAACATTCCAACTCAGAATATTCTGTGATGTTGTCCAGATTGTACCACTCCATCAGCATGGATACACTTACTGTCCTCAACCAGGCAGACAGAAGTCAAAGCCTGGAGAAGCTTGAAGTCTTGCCTTCCATATCTTCCACAGTCTCTGGTTCTGAAAAGGAAATGGGGGGGGATTCCTTACAGGAAAACCCTGATATTACTATATAATTTAAATCTTAAGGGGGGGGGGGAAGTCCCAAAGTTGTTAATTTCAGTTCACAAATGAAGAACAATGCAACTATAAACAGAAAATTAATGATAATTCACAGCTTATCACAGTAAATGTAGTTCAGTAGCTAATATAGGAATATATGACCAGATTTATCTAATAACAGGGAAGTGTTAATAAAACAAGCTGGGATTTCTTTCCCCTTGAAGTGTGCTGTAAATAAGCAGTAGCATTCCTACAGCTGAGAGAAGAACTGAGAATGAATTATTTATACTGCTGGAATAGATTTAGATTCTTTCAGACATTTTGTGAGTTTTGCAGTCAGGATGCAATCTTTCAATAATTCAGATGTCACTAGAAAAGAATAAGAAGTCGTGTTTGGAAACATTATAGTAAATAAGTTTAAAGTGTTGAAATTATACAATGGAAGGACAAAGCAAAGTTATTGTTTAGTTGGCATTTGAATTAAATTGTTTATATTATTAGGTTGGCTATGAGCTACAAAATAAGAGATTTTAAAATTACGTTGCCTTGTGAAGAAGTAAGATGAACTTGAAGCACTTATAAGTGTCAGATAAAGATGTTCTGAAGGTAAATGTTAATACTGAGAGAGAGAATAAAACCAACTAACATCACTGAATTTATGCAGGTCACCTTTTAGATTTTATTTCTGACTAGTTCAATAGACTTTTTTTGAAGTTAGATGTTGTTTTTTGAAGCTCAGGAAGGGTAAGTATTAAATGGTAACTGTAAAGTCTATGAAATTATTTCCAGATTTTATCCAGTAAATAGTAATTTTTTTGCTGACTTGGTAATTCATGATCATACTTTCCTATTTTCAACAATTCTTGGTCTTCCCTCAACAAATATGATTAGCTGAGGGCAAACAGAACTTTTAGGTAGAATTTTATTTTCTTTTCCTTAAAAGGAGTTTAAACCAGCCTAAGTGTTCTTAATCTCTAAAGATGACTCATGTCACAGGAAAAGCAACCTGAAACAAGAACTCTCTAAACAATGAACATGACAACTCATTGATGAAGCATTGAAGGGAAAATATCCTCTCTGTCCAGTATTGCATAGGGCCCATTCTTCCAGTTTTATTTTCTAGTGCGGAAACTTTTAGTGGCTTTCTTGGTTGAATTCGGAATCCTCTTGAATCCTTATAAAAGTTTCATTTCTTCTGCCCTGCAGCAGCTTAGTTGTAGGTCTGCCCAGAAGCCTGTTTCTCTGCCTGCATTGCTTCTGCAGCTGCCTGTTTGCTTTATCCCTCTCTAGCTGCTCAAATGCAAGCTTTGGAAATATCCCCCACCTGAGCACTCTCAGCTAAGGGCCTCCCCTTAAGAAACCCAGAGTGAAACTAGGAAAAAAACAAGAGCAGCCACATACATTCTAAAGGTACTGTTACTACTTTTCAATAATAATAAAAAAGCACATTGCATACACAGTAGCCCATTAAAGAAAGCAATCAATCATCCATTTGCCACACAGACATGCACTTTTATAATCATATTTAATGACAATTGACCTCTATGTATTTTTCTAGCCTTTATTATTTTATTGTTTAAAACCAACCATATGTGTACATCCCTATGGATTGCAATGGGAACTTTGGCAAGAACCAAACCACACTGCTCCACAGGAATACGAATAGTCCAACCAGGCATTACTCTCCATCCTCACCTTCCAGTCAGCAGGACTGAGGCCACTGTGATGGATCTAGTAAAGGGAAGTTTACCCTATATATTTGGTCCATTTATACTTAGCCTAAATGAGACCCATATCTCCCCCACACTTGTACATCATTTAGGTGGCCAGTGCTGTAAAAATTCTTCACTCTTGGCAGCACTTCCAAGTGGCAGATACAGAGTGGCCACGTTACAGTGGCTGTTTTCACTTCTGCCCCAGGCATCATTAAAAGGAATGAACATCTCCTGGGTTCCAGAAATAGTAATTCTTAAAAGTCCCTGTCTATCCCAAGGCTACGGAATGTCTAAAGGGCTTTTAGTGAGTTACAGCTGAAAGCACTGTTCACAGTAGAGTGTTTTATCTGATCAGAGACCCTTGGTTTCTGTTCTGCTGTACTGGTAAGAGGTGGGAGGAGAATCTGATTCAAAACTAGCCTGCAAAGAGAACTGCTAGAATGACCTTCAAGCAATGAGCGACACACACATACACACACATTCACAAATAAAGGTGGTTAGAAGGTTCATTCCTCACCTCAGCTGAGAATATGCTTCAGAGTAAGTCCCGAGCTAAAGGCCTCTGAGTGCAATACAGAACTGAACATACAGGCAGGGAAGGCTGCATTGAAAAGCAGTCATCCCCCATATCAGACGTGTTTGCTTTGGGTAATTTTTCTGTCCTTGCACACCAGGGTTCTTTCACATGAGTTAACACATAGATTTTTTTTTCCATAGGTTTTCCACAGTCTATTTTTTCCTCCTATAATAAACTGTCTTCCACTGATGTAACTACAAAAAGAACAAAATCTATAAAACATGTTGCAATTTCAACCTAATAGTTGTGGGGTTTTTTCCTTTCCTGAATAAAAGTGAATGGAAATATGGTGAAATAAATTATCCCACAGTCCCTAGGTATAGGGAGTGCTAAATTGGAACATTAACTGAATACTGACAACTTGAAAAAATATTCATTATAAGGTGTCACAACAGTTTCTATAGCACAGTAGTGAAAACACACGTGTTAATAATATCTTAAGGCACTTGTAACCTCCTGCTGATATGGCACATATGATGACCAGCTGCAGAGAGCAGTTATTAGGAGACTATGCCTTAAGACAGAAAACACAGAAAAGGAACAGGACCATCCCTAAGAGTCACAACATGTGCCCAAGAGTATTGTCCAAACACTTCTTGAACTCTGTCAGGCTTGGTGCTGTGACCACTTCCCTGGGGAGCCTGTTCCAGTGCCCAACCACCCCTGGGTTGAAGAACCTTTTTCTGATATCCAACCTAAACCTCCCCTTACACAACTTCAGGCAATTCTCTTGGGTTGTCATTGGTCACCACAGAGAAAAGATCAGTGCTTGCACCTCCTCTTCCCCTCATGAGGAAGTTGTAGACTGTGATGAGGTCTCCCCTCAGTCTCCTCCAATCTGAAAATTATTCTATCCCCTGTAATAAATTAATGCTGTTTATTTCCAGGTCCAATTTCATAAAAGGATAAGTCACTATTTTGTCTATTGTTATTTACCCTAAAAAATAAGAGTAGGAAGGAAGTGGGGGAAAGAGAAAAACATGTAACAGAAGGTAATAACAAACTTCAAGACTGAGAACTTGGGCTGTGTCAGTAATTCATTCACTAATTAAAATACTCTGCTTAAATAGATCAAGTTTTCAGGTCTTGGTACACCCCACAGTTTTTGAAAAAGAGTTGGAAGGGTTCTTTAAAAAGTAAAAAAGTACAGTAAACACAGTGTCACAAGTGCAAACATAAGCATTTCTGTAGCACTCCCTGTAAATCCATTCCTATGTGTTGATCAAGAATATGAATCCTTTTGTGAAAGCCCTTACTGAGGCTCTCTAGGCAGTTATTTATTTTCAACAAAAATTGCAATGGGAAGCATTTTTGTAGTTCTTATTTTTGTTATGTTGGATATTTACATGGAAACAAGTTCTTTTCCTTAGAAGCTTATTTTTTACCTGTAGACATAAGATTTCCACTGAAAAATGACAATGACGTCACAGAGGCAAATCAAAAGAGGATATTCTCTTTAAAAACTGTTGACGTTTATGGGGTTAGAGTAGTGAAGAACAGCAGGTGTCTCAATATTTCAGAATGGAGCTTCCCGTTACTAATAGTCTTTAAAATAAAAGACAAATTGGAAAGAGCTCCAAATCCTCCCCTTACAATTAAAACATAGTTTTCTTCTCTCTGAACGTAGTGGGCAAGTCCCACTCATAGTTTTGCTTTCCATTTTTATGGTGGACAGAAAAAAGACCTTCACTTTTAGTCTATCAACAATATAGGAAGCAATACTAATCACAATCACCTTGGAGGCAAAATTAATCCCAAGGAAACATACTGCTTCAGTGGACGCTGTTCAGGTAGCAATTGAGGACTCTATCCTATCCCTTCCTTCTAAAGCATATTGTGTTCTCCCCAAAAGTTTAGAATTCTTTCCTCTGCTATGTGTACACACCTTACCTATATTGTTACCCACTAGTGTTAGCCCCTGTAATTCCTACCGGTTTATGGGGCAGGGAAGCTTATCAACTCTCTTTTACCCACAATGCTGCAACTACCCTTCCCATATATGACTTCAACATCCCTCTGTGATGACAACACAGACTGCAACACCTATTGACAATTTCTTCAGAGTTAACCACAAGAATCATGAAGTGGTGAGCAAAGAACAACTTCCCCTTCAATGCCCCATAAATTAGGCCAAAGACTGAAACTAAACAGCATAATCATGACAAATAAAAGAAATCACAGAAGGACAAGGAAAAGAAAATAATATTGCTGGACTTCTGAAATTCCATTGGTTTAAAACAATTTTGTTTCATAAGCCAGTGTTTATGAAATAACTATTTGAAAAGGGAGGAATTTTCTTGAAGTCAGATGGCTTCACAATTTATTTTTTTTTAGCCTCCCCAGAGCAACAGAGAACTGTTGTAGTAGCTTCATTTAAGATGGGTAGGACAAGAGCTAGTGAATAAAGGAAAGAGAAACTAGTGAAATCTGCTACATCAATAAAATTTCAATGATATATTTCTAGAATAAAGAAGGCTGAAAGAACGATGCACACAACCTCCACAGTGCAAGAATTTTCATCTAGGTCAGAAGAAGAAAGCAAATGTCGAGATTTAAGAAGCACTATAGAACCACTGAGGTTTGAATTATAGTCTTTGTTTCAAAAAAGTACCATTGTAAAGTTCGTAAGGTTCTAAAGAGACCAATTTATGAACTAAACCTAGAGATGAAGACATGTTTTTAATCTTAGTGCATCACTTTCACCACAACATTAGGCTAATAAAGGCATCCTGAATATAATAAACAAAACAAACTGGTAAGTATGGCAAAAATTCAAAACTAAGTTTATTTTAGACTCTACTGATATGTTTAAATCAAAGATGCATCTTGGCATAGTAATAAACTCAGAAAAAATTCATATCCAGAGGGTCTTGAAATATTCAAATCAGGTTATCCCTACAGCTGTCTGGAAATACTCAGAACAAACAGAATCTTTGCAGGATAACATTACGGGAAACTGGATTATCTCTTCTGAAAGAGTAATAATCTTGCTCCACTCCTCTGTAAACAGTGGGCTGTTGCTAAAAACTCATTATCAAGAGAAGGACTTTATGTAATATGATAAACTACATATATATAAATATATAGTTTATATATTTATATATATTTATATATAGTTTTTAGAGAGAGAGTTTATATATACTATATAAACTATAAATATTATATTCACACCTATTTCTAGCTAAAAAATCACAAGCACAACAAAACAGAAATGCATATGAGGATATTCATGAATTACAGTTTCTTAAAAAAAACCCCATTCTTTCTCACCCACTCCTCTCCCATTCCCATCTCTTCCCCAAATGCCTGGTAGAGTCATGAAGAGCAGAGAAGACAATATGGAAATAAGTCTATCTAAGTATCTGAAAAAAAGTAGGTGTTGAAAAGGAGAGCGAGCCAAACCAATAAATTTTGTAAAAAGTATGAATTAATTTTAATCTGCAGGTTCAGTCTAACAAAAATTGGTGACTTTTAACAAGTCACCTATGCAGGCTCAGCAAGCTGATGTAGTTTATTGACTAATTAAAAATTTAGGTCATGAATGTAGTCAAGGTCTACCTGTAAAAGTGTGATAAGATAGTGGAGCAGCCACCTATTGTAGTCATGGACAGATGACAAGTGATAGCATACGAAATAGTCAAACCTAATATTTAAACAGGATAAAAATCATAGTTAATGCAAACTGCATACCTGAAGAAAAGCTTACCTGAGAGTTATGGTGCCATTCACTGCTGCACGTAGAAAAAGCAGGATCCATCAGCAACATTATACTCTTTTTCTCTGGAAGAATTCCCCAAATAATTCTTCTTTTGGATGGCTAAACTTTTCCCAACATTTTGGTAATCCTAAACCAAATCCACATAGAACATAATGGGCAAGTGGTTCGATTCAAACATCTCTAAGGAAAAAGAGGCATTTGTACAAACTAAATAGTATGAGAGAGGGAATTCACGTCTTGAAGGATACAGTAATAGTTGCACTTTTTCAATATGGTGAAAACATAGAAGTATTTTGTCTGTTACTTTATAAACAATAACCTTCATCTCTCCAGGACAGGAAACAGAAAGACACTATAATGGATAATGTTTGTATTACAGTGAATAGGACATTTGTCTTAATAAAATGGGGGCATGCAACTGAGATGTTTTGACTCTGGTACTTATTTAAATAAAGGTTGTCCTCACCTTTGTGTGCAAAAGCAATTTTCACAGCAAAATAAAATGGCCTGTGGATAAACAACAAGATCAACTTATCCTGACAGTAATAAAACATGCACGTGATGAAAGAGATATTTTCTTTTGTGCATGATGACCTACTCATGAATATAAGTACCTGTAAATCCTGCATGATAGTTGAAAATATGTCAACCACAAAGCTTATAAATTATAGAGCAATAGACAAAAACTCACTAAACAGATAACACCATGTGTCATCTCTTCTTTAAGCAAGCCAAGTGTCAGGATATTTTAAGAACAGGAGGCTTATGTTGGTCTATTTTGTACAGACACAGAAACTCATGCTTCTAGAGCAGTACATAAAAGTACAACAATGACATATTCCTTGCATACAATTTTAAGAAAGGGGGATGCAAACTGCAGTGAAGTTGATATTTTTTTCAGCCTGATGTACAACTGGTTGGATTTGAAATATTTGTAACACTCTGTTTGATATAAAAAGGAAAAATGTTCTAGCTGAGGTTGTGGTTTTTTCAGGTTTTTGGGGTATATAGCTATTTTGATTGCTTAAAAATCTCATATCCTTTTTTTCTAACATAGATATTTTAATTAGAAATTACAGTATGCCTCTCCTTAAAAGCAGGCACATGATAATGACCTGTTCCTCTGTTTTCTGCTTTCTTGGAAAATAGAGATTAATACAAGTACAGTTTCTCTAACAGTAACAGCACAAAGCACTTTGAAACATTTTAAAAGTAGCTGGTAATCAAGGACAGGAAAAACTTGAATGAGATAATGCTACTGTAATATCTACTTTGACCTTTGGTAATGTCAAATGCACAACAAACAGATCTGTGATGATCTAATAAAGTAAGAAGCCTGGTGTTCTCTCCTGATGATTTCTCTTTCTGCTTATGGTAACTATCTTAAAAAACTATAGCATGACCGATGAAACTCCTGCTTTTTATTACAGTGCTGGCAGTACACAGAAGTCTGCTCATATTTATTCTCTGAGTCTAATCCATAAACATTTTAAGAGTTTAGTGACTTTAACAACCAATAGTGTCTTTAATATAAATTGTCACCAACCCATCATCTCTCCTGTTGAGTTTTATTCAGGTGATAAGGAATGGTAATCCTTAACACATGTCAGAAACTTCATTTCTCCCTCTTTTTTTCTCCTTCTCACTATATACACCCATAAACCTAATTGGGTTTCAAACCCAGGAGAACATTTCTGACAAAACTCCAGCCTTTCGGAGAGTTCTTGCACATATGTCTCATTATATGATCTTAAAGTAAAAAAAGACAACCTGAAGTGAAAAACAGATCGAGAATTCATTCCAGATCTTCATGCACACTTTCCTGGCAGCAGGAAAGAAGAGTTGGAGAACATAATGCAAAAGTATTTGGGATCATCCAAATATAAGATAAATAGTGAGAGAAATATAGAAGATTCACATAACCAGTAATTTTGGTTGACTATTGGAGAACTTCCTTTATGAAGTAAAAATCTCAACCAGCTAACTGGGAAGATTTACTTTTTGTGAAAAGGAACAAGTAACTGCTTTTAGTACATATTTACCCACAAATTCTAAATAAATAAATCACATATTCATTCTAGCATATACCATGCAAAAAAATAACCGCAGAAGACACTCTTTCCTTTCATAGCATTCTCGAGATTCTTCAGTGGGCAATCTGTTTGCTAAAACTACACTGAATTACTCTGCAGCGTCACTTGCCAGATATGCTGGCTATGTGATAGAATAGCAAAATGACCTAATTTCAACAAAGGAAAAACAACACACATCTGAATAATTCCAGTAATTTACAAAGGCCTGGAGTTTCTCCTATTTGGCTTGCATACAGGTGCAAATTAAAAAACAGTACCCAAGATCCAGTGGAGTAGCTGAAGAATATGGCTAAGCCTATACCAGCAAAACCACCATAGACCTTTGTTTAAGAAAACAGCTGTGGTAAATGTTTACTACAGAAAACAGCTGAAAGGCACCAAAGGAAATCATAGTTTAACTCTGACTTTTAAAGAACAGATTGCTAAAATCCAGCATACTCAGAAAATACAAAACTTGAGGAAAAAAAAAATATTAGCATCCAGAGAATAGAAACAAACTCAACATCTACCTTCCAAAGACAGTTAGAACACCAACAGCCAGAAACTGTGAAATTACATGGTTAAAAATTTTAGAGAAAAAATCTTAGGTACTCTGAGTACAAGAATAATTTTAGGTTAAACAATTATCCATGTAGGCACTTCTGCAACCCCTTCCTCCACTGTCCCAGAAGCAAACATTCTTTGCATTCCTTTACCTTTAAATCCAAGTTTTAAACAGTAAAGTTTTTAAGACACGTTTATGGGAAAACAACAGGAACAGAGAAAACTGTCCTTATGTTTTATCAGTCTATTGTCATTGGATAATCACAGATTTTAATTACTTTCAGATAAGTAAAGACAGGTGAGAAAATGCATGTGTGCAATGTTTCCTTAGAGAAATTTTTCATTCTCTTGATTTGTTCACGTATGGATGTGCAGCAGTATCATCAATGCATTTTAAGCCAATTTCTTTTAGAAGATTAAGAACAAAAAGAGTAAAAATTGACTCAAATTACCAGGTATGTATCTGCAAAGCTTAAGAGAGTAGCTCCATGAGACATTGAAAAAGAGATAGCAGGGGACTACACCAGGCTCTAACCTCCATTACCACAAAAATGAGGTGTCATTACTATGGCAACTATCTTTGATTACAAGTGGAGACAGTTGACATTTTTCCTCTCTCTGTAATATCCCTACAGGCCGTACAAGAACTCAGGAAAATACTTTTTTTCCTGGAGGTACAGATTTTTGTTTCAAGACCCACGGAGCAATTTTATCCCTTGCTCAGCATTATTAGCCTTGACTGGAAACACAGGAAGTATGGAGTGTCCACCTGCATGGCCAGCAGGAGGACCTGCATTCATTTTTATCGACTTCAAATTCCAGCCAATCTCCGGGGATATTGTCAATCAGAGGGTAGACACTGAATCCCTAAGCTTACATTAATTTCTTCCTGTTATGTCTTTTTAAAGCCTCCTTTCAGTATGGAATAGGCCATAACTCCTCTTTTTTATTTTCCCCTGCACTTCATGAAAGGAACTCAATACCACTGAAATAATTGATAAACACTTTTCTGCAACAAAGGCACATGCACAGGTACCCATCTATTTATTCTTCCTTTCTTGGATGGAGTTAAATGCCCTATGAGTTATATTGGCTTTATCATTCTGAAAATTGGTTTATTGGCGTCTTAGCTAGAACAGTAAGAATGAGTTGCTTTATTATGGAAGGTACTACTGTGTAATTTATGAACTTCTCTTCACTAAATGCATTCACATCCCAGAGAAGAAGCTTGGCAAATGACATAAATTTTCACAGAGGACCCTGCAATAATGTGATATTTTTGAATATAGCTTTTGGTACTGAGTAAGGCTAATTTTAAGTGTAAATTCTGGTTTACCACTTATACAATACAAGGATAATAAACTTCAGATTTCGTATATTAAAGATATGTACATTTCCTCAAAGTAGCTTCGCTGCTCATTGCAATACATTTTCTGCATGATGCAGGCTAAAGATTGGAAAAACAGTGTTTTAAGTTTTCATTAATAATAGAACATTTCAGTTAACTACTATGTTTTTCAGGAAGTCATACATAAAGAAAGTAACAGTTTTTCAAGGAAAAGTCATCTTAACCTTAGAAATTGAAGTCACTGCCAAATGAAGTTTAAATTTTCTCTGTGAACAACATTTTTTATTTTGGCATAAGTTTTTCATTACCGCTTCTGCTATCATTTAAGTATTATCAGATGCATAAGAATTCTAAATATAAGACTTAATTCCTTTGTTCTTTAGTTGGTCCAGGATGCTAGACAGCTTAATGTAAAGTTGTAACCTGCAGGGGTTTCTCCATTGTTTTTCATTTGGTAATTCTTCTTTTATAAGGGTCATAAAGGCAACAGTCTGTAAAATCTGTTTCAGGTTTTCTTGCTCAGTTGTACTAATCTTAGTATCTTATTCTTTTTATAAGAGGCTGGTGTCTTCCTTTTTTCAATTAGAATTCTCTGAATGATTCTTCATGATGTGGAAAGTCTTCATCTCTTCAAGGAATCTGATTCAGTTAACCTAAAGTGACCTCAATTTTGAACACAATAGAAATAATTTGTTTTCTTTACCTCTACTTTTTAACACAGTCATGCTTAGATGATCTTTTCTGGTAACCTCAGTTAGAACTTAAAAAGAGGATTTAGGTAAAACATTATAGGAACAGAAAAGCTAATTGAAATTTCAATAAAAAATTAATTGCCACATCCCACTACAATAAAGAGGTCAAGTCATCCTCTTATGCTCGTAGTACACATTGTCAGAAATATATTGATGCAGAAAAAAGACCAGTAATAGTACCATTGATCTTGCATTCATTTGCAAGATGTTGGAAGAAGGGTAAAACAAAGCATTTATTAACCCTGTTCTCATCCCGGCACATACTAGTGCTGGGATACTAGGGAACATACTCAGAGGGATATGGAATGTCCAGATGTACACTATCAGATTTACACTATTTTGTATACATTTATATAGTCATATAAAATGTAATTCTGGGATGCTTCAGATTATTAATTTCTATTAACTAAGTCAAGAATGCTCTGTAAAACTCCCTGGAAGTTTTTGCTGTAGTTCCATCCCTTTTAAACTCAGTATGATGACTCCTTTCTTCCTGACTGTGGTTTCTCTCACTAAAATAAGTTTGTTCATTGCAGAGGATACTTTTGGGAATATCTCCACATTGCTTATTCTTTTCCCTGACCTAAACTAATCCCATACCCACGGTATGTCAAACCCTTGACACCACTGTTGACTGTTGATGTCGGGATTTCTGATGGACATTGATTTATTTTCTTATACTGCAATGCTAGAAGTGAAGTGTGATCTCTCTGTAATATGAATGGTTCACTTCTACTACAACCTAAATGTAAAATATCTGTGTCACATTTCTCATAACTGGATCAGTTACCTTTTTATTTTATGCTAATATAAGAGTTTTATCTTTCATGCTTGATTAACCTGCTTACAATAAATGGAGGAACAACTGTGTAATCAAGTCATTTTGACCCAAGAATAAACTTTTCTTGGATGTTTTTCTTAATGATATCTAATTTTGTGAGGGCAGATAAACTTTTTGTTATAGAGGTTTCCTATAAGGTCTTTACTATCCAACTTTTATATCTAGATGAAATTAAACAAAGTGTATTAATACATTTTCCCAAAATGCTATAAGAATCTTTGCATACAGACTTGCATGTCACTTAAATGGTATCTGTAATATAAACTTCAGGGTTTTTTTAAATGAAAAAAGAAAAAAAAGGTTTCTAAAATTATACTCAAATTCTTACACTAGCTCTGATGAGGTACTCCAATATATTATACTGTGATTAAAAAAAAACCAACAAAACCAAAACCACAAAACCAAGAAACCCAAAACCAACCAACCAACCAACCAAAAACAAGAAAAAAACCCTCAACAGACTGAATTCAAAAACATATCAACTTTATTCTATACCATTATTTTATTCTTTTCACATGGCTTCATGCTGCATTTATATAAGATACATTATGAAATAGCTTGTTAAATGCTTGGTTTTAGAACATCCATTTTCCTTTTTCATTGTATGTAAATTAGTATGTAATGTTCCTCTAGATATTTTTGTTCCATGCTGTTAGAAAACATTTAAAGATTGCAGTAACTGTTTCTTGCAGAGAATCTTTGAAAGCACTGCCTAGTCACAGGCATCATGAATGCATCATTGAGTGGAATTTCATGTCCTTGCACTAATGATTTCAATTTCCTTTTAGAATCATAAGGAACTGACAAATACAAATCTTATGCACAAAGAAAGTTGATTTGAATCACTAAAGTAACAGAAACTTGTTCTGAATCCAACTGATGCTGAAAATTACACTAAACATCTGCCTATACTTTTAGGGTCTTAGAAATTTTGCCCAAGTACCTTCAGAAGCTGGACTGCATCTAGACTGCAGTGTAAAGTTGGTGTAGAAATATCCTCTTGAAAATTATTGTACAGCTTTTTTAACTCTATTTAAACTGTATTATTTGGAGCATCAGTATTCATGTGCAATACAGAAAATCACATGTAGTTCCCAACACAAACAGAATCAGGGTGTCAGGGTTTAATGAGAAAGGACTCATCTCTGGAGTCAAGTAGAGCTAATTAAGAAAAAATATTTTCTTTATTCTTTTTGAAGCAAGCCTTGCCTTTTGAAAAGTCATGGGTTGAGCTGAATAGCATTGAACTTTGAGTTAAATGGCATTGTAATTGTCACATGTCATTCCCAGCCTGACATTCAAGACTGAACCAACAGCTAATTGCCCAGTATACCGGCACCCAATGGGAAGGGTGTACAAATAGATACAGCTCCAGAAGAATTTGTAACAGAAGGTTAGAAACTCGGTTTTATCTAGGAAGGCTTTTTGCCTAAATGGTAACTCTTTTTCAAAGGCAGTTTCAATGCTTTCCCCGTGCCACAAGCCTCTCTCTGGTATGTGAAAGGAGAGAGATCGCCCTAACAGACATGCACAGCGGCCTTGGGAAGGTGGGGCAGAAACAGAGAGGATAAAAGGAGGCCCTGTGGGGGCCAGAACTTGCCTTTTGACCCCAAGGGTCCAGTGCACTCCACATTGTAAAAAAGTGGTCCTTGCATCTGAAATAAACCTGTTTTAATCCTTCCACAACCTTGGCATTCTTGGGAAGAATACCTGCATACATTTACCTTACAGAGTGCAATACTTCACTCTTACTGTTGTGGGTAAGAAGTTTCCCAGAACTAAAGAGCAAAGGCAGAAGCCTAACTATTGGAAACATCCTTTCCCACTCTTTTTTCTTCCATTGCCTTCCCTCAATTTAACAAAACTTGAAGACAGACCTTTTCACTTCAGTGTGCATTGAAAAAAAATATGTAACACTGAAAAGCCAATGACTTTTGCTGCATTCCTTCATATTTAGGAAAAAAGAATTTAGAACTTATTAAAAAAAAAATAAAAAAAAATAAATAAAAAGCCTGAATCAAACTCAGCATTGGTTTCTCTTCCTAATTTGATGGAAGTGAATAACCTTCAGTTATTTCAAGTGTTATTTTAAGCCATATCTTCTATAGCTAATAAACCCATTTCGAGGAAAGAAATGTGGAACTGCACTCAGACTCTAATTATACTTCCCCAGAAGGAAAATCCACCTACTGAATATAGAGCATCATTACCAAACTAGAAGAAAGGTACTAATAAATTTCTAGACAGTGAGTGAATGAATACTAGGACATTGCTGATTTCACTGGGAGAGCAATAGAGAGAGATATACATAACATTTCAGACTCAGAGAATCACAGAAGCAATGAATAAACCATGTTGAGGAAGATAAACAAGTTGAGGAAGATAAACAAGTTGAGGGAACTAGAAGGGATATATTAGAAGACTTGTTTTAATCGTATAATTTAAGAACTTAAATCTGGTTATGATCACAGCATGACATGAATCAAGAATGTCTTTAAGAAAGTCATACTACACTGTTTTGAATTTGTCTAAGGTGAAATTGGGTCTTAAGCATTGTATCTTCTAAGGCTACACAATTATGATTCATTATGTAGCCAGGAATGGAAAGTGACTATCCAGATGTAAGAATTATTGCAAGAAACATTATTCACCACCACTCTCATACAGAGAGCTGATGCACTTTTCTATTGACTAATAAGATTTAGAAAGCCAAGGAAGTTTTCAACAATTGTTTTATTTATATTAATAGATCCTTCAGAAGTGTTTTGGATGTCAATACTTACCCTTAAAGAATATATGTATAAAGTTGAATTACAAGTAAGGAGACAAAGTGAGAACATGAAACAGATTTCCACTCCCTTTCTATTAAAAACTAACCATTTTTTGCTGGTGTTTCTGCCAGTTCAATGGAACAGTAGCATAGCACACTATCAAGCACAATCAATGGCATTTGCTGACATGAACATTTTAATTATGCATTACAGAAATTCAGTCAATTTTGGAGGATCTTTATACTTGTATTCTCAACTCATAATTATTTCAATATTCCATATGTCATAATTGATCAATTGAAGGGCACAGGAAACTCTCATGTATACATTACAATGATATAGTATCTGTAATAAAAATGCAGCACACAGCAATCTTCCCCAATGCTACTTGCAATATAGTTTATTCTATGATATTAGAACTGATGCTATCTACCTAGTGATAATGGCAGGCTTTGCCATCATTCCCTTGCAAGGACTAACTGAACATAATGACCAAGAAATAAAACTATGAGCTGTCTAGAAGCATCAATCGTCTGCAAAAAAACTGTGCCTGCACGAAATAATTCCCTTAGTAGCACAGGACTTGGATGTCCACATATGGATCCTGAAATCAGCAATATTTTCCATAGACAAAAGGTCTTTCCATCTTGACTCTGTTCAACTCACAACTTCCTGTGTAGTGCAGCTGAACCTTGACTAAGTATTTTGTGGGACCTTCTGTATCCATGAGAAAAATTGCCATCGCTCTTGCAGTACTGGCTGTATGTTTATCATTAAAAGGGATGGAAGAGAGGTAATCTGCCACTCAAATCGCATTTCACTAGACATGTGCAGGGTTTTGGAGCATAAACACTAGTTTGCCAGTTTGAATTTGAGTTGGCAGCAGCACAGCAGTGACAGAAAGCAGACTGACAGCAAAAGGTGAAGTGTGATGTGTAGATCTAGAAGGTGTCAGTTCAGGGGTGGAATTTACCGATGCCATCTGTAAATGGGATGAGATGAGGTAGCCTGAGGACAATCTGTAGGAGATAGAGGATGGAGAATGAATCTCAGAGCTCTAATGGAAACTGAAAGTAGAGAGAAGCTGAAAAGAAATGCTTCTTGGATAATAAGAACAGAAAGGAAGGTAGCAGGTTATACAATACTAGTGTAGATAAAAGTGCAGGGACTGACAGATTATAGTATTTCAGAGAAAGAGAGAAATTACCCGAGAAATTTTCCCAGTATTGTACTGCTATCTTCATGTATACTGATACAATTTCTTAGGGGAAAAAACAAAGTATTTTAAAAAGAAAATTGAAAATCATAATTGAGTATAGCTTTTCCAACTGCAAAAATAAACCGCTTTATTTATACAATGAAAAAACCCAAACTGCCCATCTTTGCACAGCTCAGTAAAGATCAACTTGAAATAGGCCTGCATATTGTACATCAGATCCCTGATAATGAATAATGTTTTACTAGCAAGATTTAGTACGTTTTAAGATGTAAACTCATTAATAGAATTTGGGTAAACTTCATTATCTCACAAAGGAACTAGGATTCTGCATTGGCTTTCCAGGTCAGTGCTGCAACACTGTATGTGAACCCTTTAATCAGGATGTTCTCCCAGAAGATTGAGGGTGTGGTTTGGATCCATTTCTGGATCCAAATTAATTTTGTCTCCCTCATATTCTAGGCAAATGTCCTAAGACCACCTTTGTAAAGGGAAGAAATCGCCCAAGAAAGAAATCCAGCTTCTGAATCATAATAGTATGACTTAGGTACACAAACCTTTGGGAAGAGAAGAATGAAAGATATATTCACATAGTCTGTGCTTTTCACCTCTTCTAAATGAGGCAGAGTTTAAATGATGCAACCCTGTACACTAATGTACAGAGACCTTTTCAGTCCAACACAGGACACACAGGGTTTTTTGTAGTTGTATTTTGTTTTTTAAATTTTTATTATTATATTATTATATTATTATTTTTATTATGTATTTTTATGATGTAATATCAACATAAGTGAGTTCTGTAAAGTATCAAGGAATTCTGTGATTTTAAATAATCTGTTAGATCTAGGAGGTCTGTCTTTCTTCTTTTTACCTAAAAATGTTGGACCAGAAATCAATAACAAAAAAGTTTATGTGTATGCTGGAAATAAGGCACGTTTCACTATCTCCTTTTTGGTTTCGATAAATATTGTTCCATTACAAACACTGGTGAAAGTTAACAGTTCCAGGTTGTCTCTTAGAATTATTAACATGGAAAAGAATGAAACCACACCCTGAAAAGAAAATTAAACCATCCAGTAAGTATTGTGTGGCAGGGTTATGCTGTTGTTTTTCCCATGAAAAAGGTATGACTTTACCCCTGTCATAGATCTTTTACCTTCTGTCCTTTCAGTTCACTGACATGTTGGTACAGAAGACCTATAGCAGGAGCTAAAAATAAAACGTACTGTTATTTATTTGAATCAGCTGAACTTCTGACTTAGAACCAATACGGGGGGAGGGGACAGGGAACATATACTGCATGCAGATGACATCTGATGGAAAGCAACGACAAATCTAAAAACTCTTATATTTTCCAGTTGCAAAATAATATAATATTTACATAACCAAAGGATTACTGTCTTGGACAGTGATATAAATACATCATGACTATTATTTTTAGCTAAAGATATGTTAACAAACCACACTTACTGAAAGGATAAACTACAGCACTGTATATAAGTATCTACTGATTTCATAATAAATGTTCTTTTTATTCTCAACATCTGCCATCTATAGAATTATAAAAGTTACTAAAATTGGAAATGTATGGCACTACTAAAATATGGAAAATGTAAGGCACTACACTGTAGAGCTGGTTTTACTTTGCTACAAAGCTATTTTGCTTCTTAATTTTTTAAAACTTAATCACAGAAGATGTATTCATATTGATCCTTGACAGTCTTTGTAACAATCAAGTTATTCATCCTGCAGTGGGTTATAAATATCTTGCAGTTATTTTTCTTTTTTCTTTCTTTTTTTTTTTCCTTTCTTTAGTTTGGGTTTTGTTTTTTATTTAGTTTTGGTTTTTTTCCTTCTCATTGTGAGACTAAGGAAAGAAGGAAAAGAACAAAAAATGCTAAAATAGTATTTGAACATGTCAGAAAGAGTAAAGTAAAGCACCAAATATTCTAGTACAACTGTGGAAGAGCATTCACATTGAGTTGTAACAGAGTTTTGGGACAGAGTCCAAATACAAGCCAAATTTCACTCCAAACCCATATTTACTGGCAGAAGAAACAACATGAGACAAAAAAGATGAGCTGGAGCATAAGCCATCACACAAAGAAAATTAATGATCCAGACTCAGATGGAAGCAATCCAAGTTCAAATTTCATTAAGACCCAAAGTAAGGTAGTAGAAAAGACGTATCACAGGAAATTTAATGGTACAGTTTGTATAACAATAAGTTACTCATCGCTGCCAAAGGATTCAAAATGTGCCTACTGGGAAATGTCTCAGTGCTACAGATATAACATAAGTTTGAAGATATTAAAAATCACCCCATCTTTCAGACCTTGAGGGATTTTATAAATTTTTTCTTGGAGGAGAAGACCTTAAGATACTCATTTATCACAGAATCACAGAATCAATTAGGCTGGAAAAGACCTCTGAGATCATCGATTCTGACCTATGACTGAACATCACCATGTCAACTAGGCCATGGCACTAAGTCCCACGTCCAATTGTTCCTTAAACACTTTCAGGAACAGTGACTCCACCAATACCCTAGGTAGCCCATTCCAATGTCTAATCACCCTTTCTGTGAAGAATTTCTTCCTAATGTCCCACTTAAAACTCCCCTGTCACAGCTTAAGACTATGTCCTCTTATCCTGTCATTAGTTGCCTGGGAAAAGAAGCCAAACCCCACCTCGCAACAACCTCCTTTCAGGTACTTGTAGAGACCAATAATGTTGTCCCTGAGCCTCCTCTTCTCCAGGCTAAACACCCCCAACTCCCTCAGCTGCTCCTCATAGGACTTCTGCTCCAAACTCTTCACCAGCTTTGCTGCCCTTCTCTACACCTGCTCCAGCACCTCAATATCCTTCCTGAATTGGGGGGGCCAAAACTGATGCGGCCTCACTAGTGGTGAGTACAGGGAGAGAATCACTTCCTAGTACTGCTCTCCACGTTATTTTTGACACAGGTCAGGATGCCACTGGAAGATTGAAAAGGTCCTGTGTAGGAAAGCACATATGCAGAAAGGAAGGCACAATACAAGAATTTCTGTGTACGACTGCAAAGACATCAGTCACCCAGTGATGAATTCAAGAGACAGTTTAGAACAAACTTATATACAGGTCCTTATATTTGTCTAAAAAAAGGATACTCAAGCTTACTTTAAGTTGACTGGGAAGCTTCCACGTAAGAGCACCACAGGAAAACATATTGAAGGAAAAATGTGTCATTCCTCAGCTAAATATTTTTTCTTCCTGTGATAACTGCACAAAAAGAATGAAGGCTGCTTCTGTTTTGACAATGACTAAAATGTTTCAAGTATGGGGAATGAAAGTTCTACTTAGTCTCCTTCCTTCAGCTCTTCCATCCCCCAGCATATCCCCTTAAACTTCTTGCCACTAGCTGCATGTTGCCTACAAATTCTTTGGACTCTGTGATTCCTTGGGAAAAAAAATATCAGTGTGAGGGAAAAAGAAACAACATTCAATCAGCACCTAAAAAATTGCCTCTAAATTCCCACCTCAGCCTCCAAGTAAAGAAAAGATCTGTTTCTTGTCCTGTTGTCTTCCATCACACCATGTTTCATCCCTCACATCCTGCCTTCTTTCTGTTCCTCTCCCCAGCTTCTAGAGCAGCATGAGCTCCTGCTTCCCACTGAACAGACTCCTAACATTTTTTTTTTTTTTTAAATATTGCTCCAAATAGCTATTCTTCTGGAATGTAATACATTTTCTCTGTAACTCGCCACTGACTTTCACCCATACACACAGAATGTCACTGACATTTTCTGCATCTTTCTAGGCAATTTTGTCTGTCCATTAGTTTGGGAGCTTCCCAGAGTAAATGCATCTATTTGTGTTTCATTTAATACTAATCTGCTTATACTTAAACCATGATTTATCTGGAGGTTTTTCATTCCAATATGCTATATCTTCTACAGGTAGGAACATTTGCCAGTAAAACTGAAATGCATTTAAAAATGTGTCGTTAGCAGGCAAAACTGAAATTTCTGTATTTAGAGATTGATCTTCTTTTGCTCTATGGAAGCAGACAACAGTAGCCACCAAATTGCACATCAGCACTGACTGCAATGCACTGTGCTTTAGACTGACCAAAGAAATTTTTTCACTTACTGTTTAGATTTTTCTCAAGTTGAAGAAATCAGTGTAATTGGCACTAACCTTTCAGACTAAAAAAAAAACCTAAATAAAACAGTTTTAAAAATATTCTAAAACAAAATAAAAAATGTTATATTCCAAAAAGAGGTATTGTGAATTGTCAAAACATTTCAAATTACATTTTAAAGCTTTATCTTCAGGATATAATCCAAGAGAATGTCTATCTTGTCTTTTTTCTTTGCAAATGGATTTATCCTCCCATAAAAATCTACCCATATCTTGTCATCCCTGGAATACCACTTTTACAGGACAAAGGAGAAGAAAACAAAAAATCTTTTCTAAGATACTTCAAATTCCAGTCTCAGGATAAGGAGGCTGGTGTTGCTGCACTGTACCTTGGGTATCTTAGTGTTTATTGCCTTAGTAATGCTAAAGCCCCACTGTTTGCAACTCTGAGGCCTCTCTCCTCAGCTGTTGCAGCAGTCTTCTCAGCACCTCTGTGGGCGTGGACCTCCCTTGGTTTCCCATGCTACTGTTCTTGTGATGTAGGTCTCATGATCTTGCACCTGCAAAATCCCGGTGTTCTTGCTGACGATCTTCTCATGGAAAACAAATACTGCTGGTGGGAGGTTGCCCTTCGTTCCCAGAACCACAGGATAAATTAGGTTGGAAAAGACCTCTGAGATCATCAAGTCCAACCTTTGACTTAACACCATCTTGGCAACTGGAACATGGTAGTCTCTTCTTAAACACCAACAGTGACTCCAACTTTATCACCTGTTTTCCGGCTTTTGTTTATATGAGGGAAAGATAAACACAGTGAAAAATAAGCTAGATAACAACAACTGAAATTCTTTGTAAATATTATCCAATAATACATGCACACAAGAACTTATTAAAAAAAAGGATGCTGGCACATGGTTGGCATACTCCAATCAGTGCTAACAACCTCTTAAGTAAGAATCAAGGTCTAGGAGTCTGAGCAAGTCCCAGTGTAAGGTATATTGCACTAGGGAGAAAGTATGGCTTAGAAATCACCTTCTTCATCACTTGTAACCTTCATCATTTCCACATGCTGTACTAGAGATAGCCTCCAGACACTGACCTCAGAGCAGAGTTTTCCCTTCCCTTTTTTCTTTTTTTATCCTACCCCAAAATTTCCTTTCTGTGTACTAGCATATGCCATCAGCTACAGATCCCACTATGAAATCTTTTCTCAAGTGAACGTTACTCCTTTGTGTACCAATAATATTGACATATGGATACTGTAGTCTTTCTTTGGTTGGAGAATTTTGAGTGTTTTTTTACCAGCCTAATCTGAAATAATACAGTAATAATGGCAGCATGTCATTGCTTTGCCCCTTTGCACATAAATTGAATATAAACTCAAATATTTTTTATGTGATCTGGCTTTCAGGCAGCAGAGGGCTTCTTTTAGCTGCCTGCTACCACCTGCTTCCTGCCATGACAATCATTTTGATACGTTTCTGGTTTCCTTATGATAACAGAAGAAGCTGGGCCTACCCTAAGGCACAAGTCTGCCTTTGAAGCAGACTTGAATTCATGCTGGAGTCCATCCATTCAGCTATCTGTCCATCCATTCATCCATCCAGCCATTGACACATACACTCATACTTACACTCCCCAGTATGTTAGTGATTGCTGTTTGAAAAGTAAGATATAATGAAATCAGTTCCTTTTCCCCTAAAAATGTCTACTTTATATAGCATTAAACAGTTTATTAATCATTAAATATTAATGACTAATTAGCTTGTATAAATTTTAATTTCAGGACTGGAATGAGGGGTTTTTTCTATTTTGCTGTTGAGCTTGGTCAAGGTAGATATCCCTGTTGTAATACCTGTGCTCTGTGCATCACGTGGCATGACTGAAAATCTGCAGTTAACAGAAATTATAACATTTTGTAACTGCTGAATTGATCTGATGCACTAATAATACAATGGGCTTTGGATTTCTTTGGGTGTCAGATATTTTTCTAACTCATCTAAGTTACAGTACATCACAGGATATATATTAGAGTACCACATCACAATAGGAAGCATACATGACTTACTGCTATATTCAGCATAGGCATGATGATTATCCTACCTTTGTCTGATTTTTCTACCCCTTATGGTCTGTTACTGATACCCTGATATGCTCCAGCTTTCATAAACATCCCCAGATCTTTAGGCCACCTGTTAGACTTAATATTGCCAGACTCTTATAGCTGTAACTGCTGTTTGTTCATTTTTTATTCTTATTCTACCAGGGAGAGAGAGGAACTCATATGTAAGTTGAGCTTTTAGTCACCTCTCCTTAATAGAAAAAGGAGAGAGAAGCTCTGTGGGAGCTTAACGAGAAAGCAAATACAATAAAACATTAGGTTTTCTGTGGTTCAATTTCAATTCGTTATTCCAGTTTAGTTAGATTAGAATTAGAGAATGATCCCTTCTCTAAGTGACAAACTTTCAAAAGAGGACTCAAATCTTAAAGTAAAATATTCATGAACAATGGTGCCTCTTGACTCCCTTTAAATTTTTATGAATTTCTTTTTTAACTTTGCTGTTACATTAGGCTTACTATTTTTTCACCTCACCCTCCCTTCCATTTGACTTTAAATCCATCCAAAGATTTTTGTAATGTCTTGTATAGATTTCTGAAGAAATTCTGCTGTGAGTTTTGATGCCATCTACTTGTTAGAATGAGAAAATCATTAAATAATAAAACATAAGTAGACAAAGGACAGGAAAAAATATAAAATCTGTTTATGTAAAGAGTTTCCAGGAATGTGTGGGTGTCTGAAAATGGCAGTGCCTTAATTTCTAACATTTTTGTCCATTTTAAGTTTGTCATTTCTCAAAGAATTTGTTTATATATCTGTAAGTAATAAAGAAGCTTTATCTCTGCTTCAAAACATTGTAGGCTAGAAACAAACATTCAAATATTTTCTGACTTACTAGTTGCAATTTCAGTCTCTACTGTTGCTTATTACTCAGTCCACATTTCCAGTATTCTTCACTGTGCATCGATCAATGTACTGAATTGTGCCACAGGTCACACACAATTCTGTATTTAAATTACAAACCAGAAAGAAGTATGTCTGCTAGCTGAATAACTAGCATTCACAGAACATTTGTGATCCATGCATTTTCACAGACTTCACATTGATGACTGACAGCATGCAAGTTACAACAATACAAGCAAGAAAACATGACAGATTTATTTTGATATAATTTAACTTGCTTAAAGTTTTCCATATAAGCAAATTCTGGCAAGTAGAATCCTAAACACTGATAGTAAATTTATATTTTTCATTTCAAACAGCTATTTTGATGTTTATTTTCATCTTTCTGGCCATTTAATTTCTTACACATCTACTACAAAAAGCCAACCTAACTTTTAAATTTTGTAAATATTGAAAATTTAAACATAAATACAAATATCAAATACATTATTAAACCTGCCTAACAACTAAGCAACTCTGGAGAGAAGTCACAGTTTCTCCTGAGCAAAACTTTCTTTGCTTTTTTCTTTCTAAATGGCAAGGGGTTTAATACCTCTTAGAATTTGAACTAACATTTTCCTTGTACATATTTACTACTACTACTTCTAAAAAAACCAATATTGAACCAACATAGGATGTACTCAATTTGGAGTTCTCAGAAAATGGTTATATATGTAGACCTTATAGCAGAGTGTCAATAAGGAACATATAAATAAATAGATATTATTCTTTCTCTTGTCTAACTGGTTTTTTTGTCATAAGCACACAACTGAGAAGTAAATATGACATCTAAAGCTGTAAGAGCTTCCATTTCTCTTTTCTGGCAAAACTCCAGATTTTGTTCTCCAAGTTAAAGATCCCTGTAATTATTGAAGTTTTTGGACCTATTCCTTTGCAACTGAATGGCCTGCTTCCTTGGCTGGAAAAATACAGCTTCTGAATCTCAGGCAAAAATGATTTTATTTTAATGCAACAGTGAAACTATCCAGACAGCAGTGTCACTAGGTATGAGCAATGTCCTTTTTCATCAGGATGAAGTGCAGTAGAAAAGTTGAGCCACCATAAAACTTGGGCATAAAATACACTACAGAATGCCACCTAATTTTTGTTATGTTAAGGTTTGTGATTTTATGTACTGTTTATTCATTATTCCTAGTATGTTTTTAAGTACATCAGGCTAACTCAGTCAGGACTGGTTCCAGCTTACTGACACAATATCCATAAAAATTCATTAAGAAATAAGTCAGGATATCTATGTGTAACACCTTCACGATTCATTATGGTGATTTGATGTTAAAAATACAAAGACATCAATTAAAGTGAAAAGGCTGGTAGCAGTCTGTATCTCTACAGTCTGAAGAAAATTTGACTGGCTAATAAAATGTTTTTCCCCACCATTTACTCCCATGCTTCCTAAAACACACATGACCAGCAAAGGCTGACACTCCTTGTGTTTAACTCCAAATCCTAAAATTAAGCATTAAGGTTATTCCAAACAAACTAAAACCTTTGGGTCAATGAGGTGGCAACCAAGCCCCTCACTGGTGCTTGTTCACTCTCTGCTCAGAGTGAATGGAGTGGGGGAGGGAATGGGAAGAGTAAAAGTCAGATAGCTTATGGGTTGAGATAGACAGTTTAATAGGTAAAGTTAGAGCTACATGCAGAACCAAAGCAAAACAAGGACTTCATTCACCACTTCCCACTGATGGACAGGCAGGTGCTCAGTCACTCCCAGAAAAGCTGGGCCCCATCAGCTGTAATAGCTACTCGGAAAGGCAAGTATCATAACTCCAAATGTTCCCACATGCTTCTCTTCGCCCACCTTTCTGTGCTAAGCGTGGTGTCATAAGGTGTTGAACATCCCTTTGGTCAGCTGGTATCAGCTGTGCCAACCGTGTCCTCTCCCAGCCCCTTCTGCACCCCCAGCCTCCTCACTGGTGGGACAGGGTGAGAAGCAAATAAGACCTTGACTCTGCACTGCTCAGCAGTAACAAAAACACCCACGTGTTATCAGCACTGTGTCCAGGACAAATCCAAAACTTAGACCTGAATGAGCTCTTATGAAAAAAAGTAAATCTATCCCAGCCAAAACCAGCACAGCCAGGAACAAATTTTAACTCTGTGTTGGTAAAAGAGGTCAGAGCCACTATTTGGGTGCTACTACTATGCACAGCTCTAATGGAGAGGCCATCCTGTGGGAGTTCAACATCCTTTTCAGGAAAATCTGATTAGCTTAACTTCAAAATGCTTTCACCAGAATTTAATGAATTTGCTTCTAACTGATCTGATATGATCCTCTCCTTCAAGAGACCTTTGGAACAGTTACCTCTGTCATGCAGAACCACTCTATACTCTTAAAAGTTTTTTTAGGCCTTGAGATGTTAGTGTAGGACTGAGCTAAGAATAGATAGATATAAGTGTTTTAATCACCATGACTAATGGAGCTCTAAGCAACATGGGTCCAATTTTGATAGTCGTTATGCTAAGCTGAGCTAACAAGAATAATCTACTCTGTAAAAAGCACTGTAGATAAAAAAAAAATATCAGAGCCTTACACATGCCATGAGTATTTAATAACAGTATTAGAAAAACTAGCTTTACTGCAGGTAGGTGTTTCTGTTTCTGTTCATTACACAAAGCAGTTGTTAGTTTAAATAGGTGAAAAAAAATAACAGGAACTTCAGACCATGACGATGTTTCTCCTGTACTGTGCATATGTTCACACAGAAGTACCTGTTTGCAGCTTCACTGAAACATCCCTAAAATGTAGGTTGTTGAGAAAATTTTTTTCTCAAAGATGAGTCATTTGTCAGTGCTTTGTGATGCATTTTTTAAAAGGCAGAAAGGTAGCTTTGTAAAACCTCAGTCATTTCTAAACAGAGTATCAGTCTGCTAGCTAAGAAAGTCGTTTACTGAAGCTTCCAATATAAGTAAGGAGCTTCTGTTGGTTGGGTTTTTGTAGGATTTAAATGTGTTGGTGTTAAATAGCACATAAGCATTACATAAACACAATGAGCAGCTTTGCTCTTTATAAGCATGGGTGTTATTCCATGACTTTTTAGCATTTCTCTTGAAGATTTTATTCAGTTAAAAGCTGATATCAAAACACTATCCAGTTCATCAGATGTTGAAATATGAGGGGTCGAAGATGAGAACATGACCAGTCTTAAACTCTTTAAAAACCCCCCACATCCTAAACCAATCAAAAACCGGTATTTCAGAAAATCTTACATGATTTTTCTTATAAGTAAGGAGAGAATGCCTGACAGGTACATGGCACATGCCTTGTATTTACAGCTTCTCCTCAGTCTGGGACAGAGAGAAGGTAATTAGTAATTCTGGGCCAAATCTTTAGAGATTTTAAGCATCTGCTAATTAGCCCAAGAGCTGTTAACAGCAGGAGACACTATAAAGCCTCAGCACATCCATAAAACATTGAATGAAAAGCCAGCACTGCAGTTTATCATTTTACTGTAGTGTGTCAATTTGTAGTTTAGTATTTTCTTGCTTATTGTTGTACTTTTTGCTGATTATTTTATGTATTATTTTATTTTTATTCTAACTCTTCAACCAAATATTCCATCATTTCAAAAAATTCACATCTATAGAAAATGGTGGGGGAAGTAATAATGACACATAATCAGGATGCTGAGAGGCATCAACTCTGTTATCTTTGTCTATGTGCAAGTTCTCAGCTACTTCATTATTAAAAGCTATACATTATAACTGTGTGATTTTCTACTACAGATAATGTTTGAGAAGAACATTCCTAAAAAGAAGCAGCTAAGAGCATAAACAAGAAAAATCTTAGTCACCCAGGTCTCAGCCCACACCAATTACTGGTATGGCCATCTGAAACTTTTGCAAGGCAAATCCAAACTTAAGATCCTCTAGGAAACATCAGTCTAACTATCAATTTACTTGTAAGAAACATGTTGATTATGAAATCTGTGCATCATTTTTTTCTAATTTTATTTGCATTTCCCTAATATCTCTACTTACTTGTTTTATTGATGAAGCTTCAAACAGGAACTACCTTTAAGGATTTGATAAAATTGTATTCACAATGGAATTTTGCAGAAAATGTCATGCAAAAGGATTAGTCCATTTTTAAAAGTCTAATTAAAGACATCAGAAAGAATTTACCTGAGGGTAGGAAGAGTACTTAATGGATGTTTCTTGTCAGAAGTTGTGAAATGTGATTTGCCAAAGGGATTAAACATACCCATTGAATTCATCATGTCACACAAACATCTATTACTTGCCAGTTGAATCTATGAGAAGGAGAAACATTTCTCCATTTCTTGTAGTTATGAAGCTGCTCCTATGGTGACGCCTGTTTGAAAAAGAAGACTCTCTAAATTAGGAGAGCCCAGTTTTATGTATCCCTAAAGCCCAGACTTTCTTGTTACCCCAGCAAGGATAACAGGAAGAAAAGCCCTTCTTGGTGGCAAGATACTGCACTCACCTGCTGCATATGCCTCCCATGCTATGCCACAAGCCTGGAAGATAACTTGGTCCTCTGAACAAGGAAGGTACTGACCCACTTGGTATTCATGGCTTATCACGATCGCTTCAAACAAAAGACAACATTCAAAAATGTGGATTTGCTACTATCACGTTTTGAAAGAAAATAACTATTCAAGGTTTGCTTCCAAAAACTACTTCAGTTCTGTACATGCTAAACACAGAGGATTCCTTGCTTAGAGCCCTGAGTCACTTGCTTATGCTCAAGAGTAAGTTTTGGATAAGATATAAATAATTGAATATTAATAGTGGATGCTTCTCTTCATCTGTCAGGAGTTTGGGATCATCATGAGTTGCTTTCCTCTGCTTGTATATAGCACAGAACACCTAATTGGATTTTGCAGTGATCTCTAGAACATAAGAGTCCTGAGTACCGCTAAGGAAACTTTCCTGCCCAACCATCCAGGAGCCTCTCTGGCAGTCACAGTCACACCACCTTAGCTGGGACCAAAGCCTCTTCACATTGAACAGCTCCAGGGAACCAGTGGGTGCCCCACTCGACTTTCTACACACACTCCACACTCATGCTGTCAGACCAGGTTTCCTTACCAGCTTGACTGCAGGCTTCCCATAGCAGTATCAGACATCTGGATCCTTTAATATTGATGCAATACCTAAGTAACAGCTTGAGTTGGTACCTCTGAGGAGGGACCCTGAACAAAGGAAACCTTTGGCTTTTATACCCTCAGTCTAAAGGGGTGAAAGTCTGTAGTCATTGGCTCCTGACCAGTCCCTTGGTCGTGGCACAGGTCCCTGTGTCTTTTGTTACACAAAGGGTCAGCAGTTCATGGCCTCTTGTCTTGGGTTCTTGCCACACAGAGCTCAACCAGCAGCTTGCACTGCACACTGAGCTACCTGCACTCAGTGTATTCCTTAACAGTGCTTCCCATCATAATATTGTTGCTCTCAGCACTCCAACAGCATTTAGTGGCTACCTTTTGCAACTGAACCAACTCAGAAGCTGCGGAATGGGGAACCCCTCAGAAAATAGCTTGTTGGAAGGAAGTACCCATTAAGGACCTCAGGGGGCTCCTGGCCTCTGCTGCTATCATAAGTGAGATATGAGAATGGTACAGGGCAAGCTCATGACAAAGCAGCACTGAGCACTCTGTGTTTCATGATTCTTGAGGCTGTCAAGACAATTCTGCACAAATATGATCTCATTTAAAGCTAAAGCAAAAATGGAAATTCTGCAAAATGGAAACACTAAAGGGATAATAATTCAAGTATTTAAATAATAATCCAAGTCTCACGAGAGACCTTCATGTTTAATTTTATGTATGATGTGGAGACTAAGTTTATTACTGGGTACCGATTAATCTTTCTGTGAGATTTGTTAATATTTTTGCAATGCCCACTGGACAATGATAAATCATTGCAATTAAGGTTGGGACAAATTAATCTTGCAGCTTCATTTTATGTCTGTTCTATCTCACTTGTTTTTGATGATCAGCTTTTAAATTTGGGGTGATGGTAGCAAATAGGTAATGTCACAGCACAGCTAGAAATCTTGTATAATTACATATTGCTTTTAATGTCATTTGCAATGCGTGAATTCACTATGTTTGATTTCTTTTGCCTGCTGATTCATCCCAAAAGCTACTTTTAGGCATAGCAGGGACTCCTGAAACTTCAGAACACTAATTTACAAATGATCCGTAGGAATCACAGGCATATAAGTAATACCAATCTACAACCAGTAATTCAGGGAGAACTGATCATACTTGCCATGGTATTACTCCTGAATATTCTCCTAGTCTCTTCCAAGGCCTCCATTCATGCAGTCATGTCCCCTCCTTTGGTAGTGTCAGTCTACATCTTATTAAAGGGTATTACAGCAAAGTTACCAACCCAAAGACCTGGATACAAATTTTTTAGCTTGCACTTTGTAAATAGCATTGTGCATCTTCTTACCATTTTTAGATGCTGTTGTTTCTTCTCTCCAGCATGTGCCAAATTGATCCATTCATCCACCTTCAAAGGTGTCACTGACACTTCAGAGACTGTCCCAGAATTTCATAGAAGTCTTCTTATCTGTTTACACTTTATTTTATTGAGGGACTACAGGAAGTCATTAATAGTTTTTCAGTCATGATTTATCTGTTTGCCAGTTCCCACTAACAATTTGACAAATATAAGAACAGGGAATTGTCTTTTTCAAGCCTGCATTATACCTTTTATTTTTTTGTTATTTAAAATCCCTATTCTTATTTGCTGATTTGTAGGCTATTGGAAAGGAAAAAAAACCCTACAATGGAGGCAAATTTGGTTTTGTTTAGTGTATTATTTTAACACATGCAAAGCTCTCCAGGTTTACAAAAGCTGATATTGGCAGGTTATGTCATGATAGAGCTCTCGAGACAGCTTGCTTCACCAGAGAATAAAAATCAAAGAATGGCCTCTGCCCATTCCTATTTTACATCTTTTCCCCTTTTATTTTTTCTTGTATTGCATCTGATTAATAATTTTGAACGGTAGATACATATAAGTAAAGAATATATATCATCAGAAATTACAAGCAAATATTCCCAAGCAATATTACAGTTCAAAAATAGTCCAAGGTAAAAATAATGTATTACATATCTGGAGCACCTTATTTGTGATCCATTTTCTTTGCAAGGCATCGTGCTTTGTTCATATAGAAAAACACCTGCTGGTTGATATAAAACACTCTCAAACTAAAAACAATTTCAACCCAAATAATATTAAACTGAAAATTAAAAGAAAAAAAAAACAAACCTCAGGTTTGCACAAGATCCATTGCCACCAAATTCTTCCTGTTCTGAAGGTCAGAAACAAAACACTCCCTCCAAACCTCTCCTCAGTGAACTCTTCTGTGAACTATCGATACACATAGGTTCAAAATCTTGCACATCCGTTGCTGATGATCTTACATAGATGCTGCACATCTACAGAGCAAGAAGACCAATACATGAATTTTAGAAAAAGTGGACAACTGAAAAAGTAAATGTGGGTACAAAATGACACAAAAAAGGGAATTTTTTCAGATTCTGATTGGCCATAAACATTTTTTTTAAGAATATGTGACTAAACACACAAAATCAAAGTCCAGTATGCACATCAGTATCAGCAGGCAGCCCAGAACCAAGCAGTGTGAATGGGCAAAGAGGATAAGTAGTTGTACATATGTTATAATCTTTTGAAGACAAAATATGATGAATGAATAATAATATGCTAAATAATACATGGGTCAGTATACGGCTTAGTGATTTGCAGCTTCTGGTGTATGTGTGTTTATGCTTGTGTATACATACACATATTTGCTGCTATTTTAGTTAAGATCATACAGGCAATAGCATTTTGAGAGCTTATTAGTAGTAGGTTAAGTGCTTTTGCCTTCCTAAATATCACCATTTGATATTTAATAAATGCCAAGAAATCTCACCGGGTGTCAAGTGTGCTGTTGGGTGACACTGCACCAGCTCTTTAACACATAACCCCTAATATGGTAACTCTACTCTTGTCTAACCAACCCATCATCTATTTATGATAAATTAAGAGAATAGTTGTAAAATGTCAGAAAGGAGTGACACAACTAGACAACTCTGGTACTAAGTAGTGGATTGCTACCAATGGTCTGCTGATTGAGAAAGCTTAGATTCTTGACTAAATCAGTCACCTGCTTAAAGAAAAACTATCATAAAATGGAGTTCTCACAATGTTTTAGGGCTAGTTTCTCAGTAATATGAGACTTAAATCTAAATCAAATATCTGAACCAAACACTGATCATGTTGAAGTATAAGACCTGAAGAACTAAACTTCGTCAATTGGTAGTCTTACTCTTTGAACGAAAATGCAGGAGATCTCAGAACAACTGAGTGCCAGTACTGGCAATTCTGCAGGAGTGTCCAATTTAAGTGAGTAGAATTTGATTTTAACTTTTTTTTAACTAGAACCTTTGGTGTTGCCTGGTAGAATACTAAAGTACCAGAGACTGGACGGACTACTCATAGAAAGGTTATTAGTACTTACATTTTAAAGAACCTCTTTTTGTTGCTCTAGGCTAGTGGATCACAGCAGCAAGAGCCTGAAAAATAGGTAATTTGGCTTGCACCTATCTTTGCAACCACAAAAAACATTAATATTTAGAATTCATCAGTGTGGTTACATCATACAGTTATAAACATTCTGCAGAGTTAAGGGTTCCTTCTTTCAAAATTAGGAAACAATTGTATAATTATTTTTCTTAAATTATTGCTTCTCCCAACAATAAAGAAATAGTAAATCCAGTAAATATGAGGCAACATTTTACTATATTGTAGGTTCTGATTTGCTTTATTATGCTAAGAATCTAAAAGAAATACAAAGCTAAAGAAATAAGAGATTGGTTAGCCAGTCTGCTTTATTTATTATTGAACAAGAATCCATTTTCATTTGCATCTTTGTTAGAAGAACGGTTGTATTTGCTTAGAGTACTCTGAGGAAATCTCCATTCATTCAAGGCAATTTCTTTTATATTTCTTTAAATTATGAGAACATTAAAAATGCTGCATTACTTACCAGTTTTGTAAAATAACACAAAAAATGCTTCAAACCAATTGTTTATTTAAAAGAAATGAGTATATTTTTATTTCAAGAATGCACAAACACAGGATGTGTATTCTGTGACTGTTTCCTCATGCATTTCTCAAGTTGCCTAGGTTACATCTGGACTTCTTTTTTTTTTTCTTTTAATTGCTACTTTTATTACAGTAGGGTAAAGATTCCTGATAACCAGTCTTGGGCTGGAACTTGCAGTGAGAATTGTCAGGACTTTTTCTGTCTTCTCTGGGGATTTTCACACTGTGTTCTTATACTGAAGTTTGTATTCAAAGTTTGGGGAGCAATTTCCATTTTGACCACTTCCTTGTGTTAGATACTAATGCTGGCCAAATACTGGAGACAAAATCACTTAAAAACAGATGTCAGCTTCCACACTCAGAATCTTTGTCAGCAATTGTGATCCACATTTTTCTATCTAATATCATTAGGACAAGTTTTCCTTCCTTGGCTATGGTTCCTTACTTCACAGGAGATTTATTAGCATACATTAATCTCTTACATCTCTTCTGCATAGCTTAGCTGTAGCTCTGTCTCCTCATTTATATTTATTACCTGCTTTATTTATATAAGGTGAAGCATTGTGTTCATGGTGCCTCCTCTTAGAATACTAATTGCTTCCTACATTTTAGGCACTTATGCCTTTGAGTATTTAACTTAAAATAACTAAGAAAGGTGGTTTTGTTTGCTTGCTTTTTCATCATTTACAGAAGGATGCTTCTATAAATGAGCTGAGGCAAAAGAGTAAGGTCATTCAAAGTCCAAGGTGACTCTTCCTTTTGTAGAGGCAGAAAACAAGCCAGAAGAAGAAAAGACCTGGAAATTTTCTGCTGGGGTCTGTGGACATTGATTAACCGAATGTCAGGGAGTAATAATTTATGATACTCTGGGTGCAAACAGAAGGTGATCTATGAATTTCATGTTATTATCCTTATTATTCTTCATTATTAATGAGAATTATCTCAGCCTCTCCCGTCAGCAGGGTTAAATCTTACCATCTGTACCCCTATACCACTGGAAGCTGGAAAAACGTTTCTCTTATTCCCACTTCAGAGGTGTTTCTCATTGAATTTTCAATTCTGTTTCATTCTACCAGTAAAATTAAAATTTATATAGCTGACCCACACTTTTGATACACTTCAAAACTCTACATTCAACTAATAAGGAACCTAGAAACAATATTTTATGCCACTGTAAAATTTAACCAACTTAACAGAAGTCTGTTTCAAATGAGTGTTCCTTTCCTTACTTTGCCTACAGAAACATTTCACTGCTTTTGTTCTACCCTCACAAGTGAAAATTAATTTGAAAGTTAATCCTTCAATAGAGGCTCTTGTAGCTAAGAAATCTTGTTCCATGACTAATTATTCCATGTGGGAATTTTCTTTTTCCCCAAAAGATTGCTATCACACAAAATAAAGAGCCCTTGCTTAAATACAACCAGACTGGCTACTTGTATACGGCATACAAAGACAATAGAATTGACTTCAAAGGAAAACCTTTCTCAGCTTTACTCTGCTTGGATTACTAGGGAAAAGGGATGGCATACCATTACTAGATTACAAGGAAAGATATACTAGTCTAATGATTTTGTAGTAATATATGCTAATTTGCTAGGAGAATTTTAATTGCCTGAGATAATAAAATTTGAAATTATGAGGAATAGTAGCAGAAGCTTCTTTTGAAAATGCATCTGTAACCCTTGCACATTCTCACATGGGTTTTCCTTTTCTAAACTCTCTACAGATCCTGCCCATGTTGGTCCTACAAACTTATTTCTATATTTCAGCATTGCATGCAGCCTTTAATTGATAATCTTGGGTATTAATTCCACTTCACAGAGTGTATCTGGATCCATGATCTCCTACATGAGAAGAGGAATTCTCTTACATATGGAATAACTTGAATTATGACAGGAATAAGGAAATTCCATGCATTTTTGCCTTGCATGAGAACCTTGTTGATGTTTTCCATGGGTGGGATCTATCCCCATGAAAAAGAATATATAATCTCCCTTTCACTCTTCCTATATATCAGATAACTGTCTTTGCTCAAGGTCAAAGATGATGTCAAATTCCCTGGGCAAATTTCCATTCCTCCTTTAGGAGAAGCACTGTGGCAGCATGGGCTGAAGTAGCTTTGTGGATACTGGTGCTGCAATGAGAATGGACTCAGCAGAGATGGGAGAGACGCAGGAGGGGTGTTACCAAAGGCAGCAGGCTGTCATGAGACAGCAGCCAGAGATGCCTTTCTTGCCATGTAGTTGGTAGGCTGACAATGAGTGAGTGATATGGATACAAGCTGTCAAGAGGGGTGCAGATAGACAGGGTACTCATTAAATAAAGTAATGGTGATACTTATAACAACCTGCAGTAAGTTATCATATAGATAAATGACCAGATGTGGGGGCGGACAGATGGTGAATGACTCTTATATAATTGAAAAGTACAATTGAAACCTGCTGAGAACAGTCCAGCAGTAATTTTGATTTCATTCAGTTTTGAGGAACAATGAATGACTTGGGGTTTTCATAAAGTTCACATTTGCTTCTGCATTTACCGCATGAATATTATAGATGTCACTGCATAAAATTCACAGTTGTGACTTCTTTCTAAAATAATTTTCACATTCTCTAAAGGGAACTATCAAATCTATTTTTTGGAAATTCCGTCACTATATTCCGCAAAAGTACAAACCTTTGCAATGATCATAGTTCTAAACATAACATCAAAATATAATAAAATATAATTTAATGCTGTGATTCTCAAAAGACACTTCATCTTCTGTTTCCCTCAAACATTCTGTCAACCATTTAAAAAATAAAGCCAGTTCAACCAGAGCATTTGCTAATCAACAAGAGAAATTATACTATTCATTTTACTTAGGGCAGTTGAACAAATCAATATCAGTTTATCAAGATACTTGGATCTAACTGCCTTCTAGATTAAATGTGTTATAAATATTAAAATGCATGCTTAAATAAGCTCTTAAAATTATACTTCAGCCTTTTCCCTATGAAATTATTTATGCAATTGCAATATGCAAGCAAAAATGTGTATTACAGAATCAGAGGGGATTTGATGTGAACAAAGAAACAGGAAAGGGTTCATAATATTCAAGGCTGCTAGAGGATGTTTTTAAAAGAAAACACCAATGTTTTTCAGTATGTGAGCAGAAAAAGAGAACATGTTATTCAGCTTGTAACAGAGGGCTTACACAAGGCTAACACAGGGACCAGGGTCAGAACAACTTACTGAGAGTTGGTTTTATTTGGGTAGTTACCTTTTTTTGGTAATGATCATGTCTCAATCTTGGATCTTCAGTCTGTGCAGACCTGATCTATCTGCCAGGAGTCTTTCTGTCGTTTTACATGAGTTTTGGAACTACTGTGTTTGCACCCTTTCTCATTCAGCAGGAAAAATGTCCCTGAAATAGGTCAGAACAACGCTCTTCCTCTCCCCAACTCAACCATTTAATTTACACAGTTGTATATTTCATTAATAGCTCCTCATGCACAAAATGTGTGGGAAAAATTTTGTAAGACTGGTTTAGAAATATTTTGACTGCAAATATGAAAATAAAAAGATAACTTTCATACACTCTTTTACTGTTGAGTAAATCTGATCATCTTTGTCTAGTGAGAAGTAGCTTTTCCTGTCTCTTGAATTTACTTCATTACTATGCCTGCCTGTGAATTTCTAGTTATTGTTGCATAAATTTTACAGGCCAGACTTCATTAGGGGTGGACTAAATACAGTATCCAAAACACCACTTTAAACTGTGTGTTTTTCCAAGACCATTTTGTTGGGCATATGGTCAAATAAGGGGCATGTCCTGGCAAAGGAAGTCAGGACTCTCCTCCTTGTGAGAAAATGAGGAAGGTGAAATAAAGAACTAAATAAGCAAATCACCACTTTAAACAGCAGGATAGCACATTTTAAGTTATCAGTGATTTTTATGGTGGTGTTTTGATCAGATTGGGTGGAATGCAGTGATAGAAACCCATACAAAATTCCTTTATAGACAGCAAATTGTGCTTCCAGCAGATATCTGAAGGAGGGTATCTGATTTATAATCAGAGTTCTATCTATGCCTTGACAAGCAGTAAAATATGATTCAATTGAATTATGTAGTTGTAAACTGAGTAAAAAAAATGAATGATGAGATGATGTATTAGCAGGCAAGAAATAAATGTCCACATGTGTAGCCATCCAGAGTATTCACATATTTTTGCACATGCATCTGAGAAACACAGTATATATAGTTGTGCTAATGAGAGAAACCCTTTCACCATCAGACAAGTAAGTTCATAAAAATTATGTGAAATAGGGTTATTGATATTTGAGGTGTACGCTTCCTTGCCTCAAGCACATCATGCTGATTTCCTCTTTGTGATGGGATGACAATCACTTTAGAAATGAAAAAAAAAAAATTAAAGAATAGTAAATATCAGACAGGACAATGCAAGTAATGATTTATGATTGTTAA